AATAAATAATAATAAATTCAAAATTTTATAAAGAGCAATACATTTCCTATCAAATCAATGTCAATAGATTTTTATCTGTTTCTTTAAGCTCTGTGAATGGCTGAGGCACAAGAGATCTTGTACCACTTTTCTACCCACTCCAGATCTGAGACCCTTTTTACATTACAGTACACTTAAGGTAATGATCTAATGATATTTCTGTTTGATAGATAATTCTTATATATTTTGTAAATGCATTGTACGCAAAATTGCATCCTTGTTATGATCTAAAAATTGATAGGTACCCATTTAAGTTTTATTACTGTGATGATTTGAGTTTTGGATTCAATTTCTTTAACACTATATGGGAAATTTAATTGTTTTTGCATAAATTTTCAATTTTCTTCAGAGATGAAGTGCGTTCATAGTCCACATCTCCTGGTCTTCAGTACATATGGTAGCCATAGTTTAGAAAAACTAATAGGTTCCCATGCAAACTGTTTTTAAATAAAACCCCATTTGTATTGCTAGATTGCCAGCACTAGCTGCTGATGCAAATGTGCAACAAAAAGACATTAATGCATGGTGTTGTTGCGCAGTGTAGCATAAGGACACTACCTTAAGTGATACAATCTGTACAGGTACAGATCTGTGAAAGGTCCAAACATAATTATGCTATTGTGGGATTAACTCCCTTCAACAAGAACTTCACAAATCTGCTTCCTGCTGTTAAGTTTATTGGCAATGTAAAACCTGCAGACTAAGAGCGCGTTCACAACAGCAAACTTACAGATCTGCCGATCTCATATGGCTGACCCACTTGATTGCTTGTTGCATAATCCCTGCAGGGAATCTATTCAGTGTCTAATCGAGAATCAAGCGGCAAGCTTTTTAGTGAGTCATATTTGATCTGCACATCCGTTGGTCCTCTGTTGTGAACGTAACACACAGCCTGGGTATTTCATAAATTGTAAATCTCTCACTGTGAACCCATACAACTACATCGCTAAATCATACAACATGATGTGAAAAGTTTGTAAATATTGAATAATTTACCTCTTTTGTGACAGTGTGTCAACAATGTCATTACAGGCCAGGGAAAGAGCCAGCATTTCTTCATCTGCGACTCTCTTCAGTGGGTTCTTGCCCTTCACGTATCTCTCCACCGTCTGAAGGTCAAGGCCAAAGTACGGAACAGAGGCATCCCAATCAATCATACCATAGTCATTCCTTTTCATTTTCTTTTCAAGCTGGTTTCGCCAAAGTAAATCGTACAGCGCAAGCTCACACGGCACAACATGAAGATAGCATGGCTTCCTGGGTAATGGTAAAATATGGATCGGATATAGAATATGAGCTTCTTTGGCTGCTCTTTGACGGAACAAAGCAAGCTGGAGTTCTTCCACTTGGATGCTGGATTCGAGATAAGAAGGTGATAAAAAGGTTACGACGACTTTGGCAGAGTCAATGGCTGTCAGTTCCGCACTTGCACTGCCTTCAGCTTTTGATTGGCTCTTTTTACTGACCTTGACCCAAGGCGCCTTCAGGTGCAGCATCTTTTTCAATGCTTGCCCATATTGCTCCTCAGATTCAGTATAACTGAGCGCCACATCTATCCCCACAGCTGTAGCATCCTCAGGCGATGTTTTTTCTGCCTTAGGTGGGACATTTTCTTTGGAATCTGACTGTGGTTGCTCACTTTTCTCATTATATTTAGCCTTTGTTTGATTGTTAAAAAGTTCTAGTCTTTCCTTGAAGTAGTGCAGTCTGCGCGTCTCAAGTATCTTTGAAACATTAAGTGACACCTGCAACAGGACAAAAATGCTAAATCTGATGTACTGTTAAACATGTAATATGTCATTAAATTACTTACTTATATGATGATGACACCTGAAAGATCTAGTTCTAGTTCATGTGGATTACCTGTAAAATGTTGAATGGAAGACACCAACAATAAAATTTTTCCTACAACCAAATGTTCAGATAAAAAGTTAAAGGCCCCCAAAATTGGAACAGCTGGCAAATAAATCCTATGTATATTACACTTTTTTTCTAAGTCACTGTTAATCAAAAGACAGCACCAACATACACTAGTATAGGAATAGTGAAGAAATATCTTAAGGTGTTCTTAATTATTCTGTTTGAAATATAAGAATTAAATAAAGAACATAAAATAAATAAATAAATAAATAAATAAATAAATAAAGAAAGAAAGAAAATACCCACTGGCACTTTGTTGAAGACCAGATCATTCATTTCCTCTGTCTTTAGCCATGACACAACTGATTTGCATATTGCTACGGCAACAGATTGGAAAGCGTCGCCCATAGCATCTATTGCCTTTACAGAACTGTGGGTCTTTGGGACCTCTCCAACTGGTTCAATGAGTACAGGGATCAGCTGGCCGTCAAATGTCTACAGAAATAAAACAATCAACTGGTTCAATGAGTACAGGGATCAGCTGGCCATCAAATGACTACAGAAATAAAACAATCAACTGGTTCAATGAGTACAGGGATCAGCTGGCCATCAAATGTCTACAGAAATAAAACAATCAACTGGTTCAATGAGTACAGGGATCAGCTGGCTGTCAAATGACTACACAAATAAAACAATCAAATATGGTAATAAGTATTGCTATAAAACTCACTTTATATTATAGCTAACATATTAACTCCGTCACTATTCACCATTGTTTGTAGATAGTGAAAGTAGACTTTTAGGCATGGTACCACTTCACCTCTCTAAAGTTCTCCTTTTTTCTTCAACATATTACTGTGTATGCGTGTGCGTGAGTGCATGAGTGCATGTTTGTTTGTTTGTAGGGGGAGGGGGGGGGGTTATACAGGCACACCCACCTCTCCCATATGTTTTAACAAGGCCAGGTTGTACTCTTCTGTACACACGGCTGAGCTGAGGTAGGTGGGAGAGAACAGAGCAATGACACACTTTGACCCATCCACTGAGTGATACAACATCTGCTGCCATGATGTGCCTGGAAGGTATAATAATAATAATAATAGTTCGTTTCAGTAATAAATATTAAACTTATTACAAAATAATAGTGATAATAAAATGTCTAAAATAAATAAAATGAAACAAAAACACTGAATGAACTAGGCAGATGTTATTGCCAACTTATCATTGAGTCTATTGCTATTAGCTGAAATTATTTTTCAGTGTCAAGAAAAAGAAAGCTCAAAAAGTGTTGCATTCTACATATATGCACATTACGCACAAAAAAATGTTACACCATGTTTGGGTTTTTAAGTCACAATATCTGACAAAGTAAAATGCGATAGAGTAAAGTTTTTGGGTGTAAGATGAGTCACTGTGGAGGTGCTTTCCTCAAATACTTTTATAGAAACAATATCTTGATGTATGTTTATATTTGAGTGCATGGTAAGTCTGCCTCACAGTATTTCTCACTTGCCAAAAGGAATAGCATATGTGACAAAATTATGTTTACACTTCAGTTGTATTATATACATAGTCTTCTGAAAATTTCAATAAATTAACTATGACTGAGCTAGAACTGAACAGTTATTGTCTCTCTCTCTTGTCTGAGAACTATGACTTTCTGAAGTGGAAGTGACGGTTGTTGTGTTCCCCCTTTCCTCCCGACAATGCTCTTAGTTTAAAACATACACCACTTTGCAACTAGCTGTAGGTAAAATCTACTTGTGATTCATGTACTATGTACGTTCCATAAACCCTGCCAACTCAAGTGATTCTATTTCTGAATAATACATATATATATCATTATGAACCCAAATAACACCATTCAAAACATACCGGCTTTTAGTTCGTTCCTGTCATAAAATATTCTCAGATGAGGATTCAGTCTTGTGAGGGTGTTCAAGAAAAAGTTGGCTTTGTCTGTGTTCTTGTGGGAATAGGAGATGAACACATCGTAATCTGAAATTGTGTAAAAAAAAAAACTCTTCTAGATATTCCATTTTTAAGCAAATGTAAAACACAGAACAATCAAAAACAATGTAATCTAAAACTTGTTGTGCCCAGTCAAGTTATCATGCTAATAAAACAGTTTGTGTCTGTTAACAGTTATACTATTCTTAAGATTAGACAAGTTATTCTGTGCTTTTTAAGAAATTCAGTCCAGCTGACAGTTTCCTTTCAATCTCATCCAGACTTAATTACAACTACAGTTATTTTTTGGTCTGACTTGACTTTGCACTGTCTTGAGGAGGGCAAGGCTAACATCTGATGAAATTCTCATTCTACAAACAGCATCGTGAATATTTTTCAACACAAAAGCTATCATTTCTTCGGCTGCTTTACCAACAGATGCACAATTAACATACTAATCACTTTTCCTCTACAACATTTGTAGCTTGTTGGTCACATTTATCCCAACTTCCAATATATGTCAACTATTACCGTAATTAGTATGGGCTTGCTGGTGGTTTTGCTGCCCTGTGATATCCTTTGCTGAGAGGAGACTGACAAATGTTTTACAGCCTTGGACCACACTCTGAGGCTTGGTGTCAATGGTCCTAAAATTTATCACAAAATTCATGTCATTTTTAAGCATTTTCATCAATGGTAATATGAGAAAAAGTCGATATATTAAATTTACATATTCTCTTAGCAAATTATCAGGCCTGCAGCAACTTTGCTGCAAACTGCCATTCCTCCTTGCAAATTTGTCACAAATTAGCAACAATTCAAAATTTTCATGCAAACTTGTTGCCACAAACTTTTCATTTTGCTTAGGTTTACTTAGTCCCAGTTTAAAATATTGAATATCAAATTGAATGAATGAATCCATGAACAAATACTACAAAATAGAACAAATACAAAAAGTCTCATTTACTTACTAGTATATCTTAAGTGATGTAAGAAAAGGTACAAATAGAAGAGAGCAATCATTTTGTTTTTCCCTGACATTAGTGTGTCATAAAATAATGTGTACCTGTTTAAATTAAACAGTCAAACAACACAGGTGAAATATGTAAGTTTAAAAACATAAATTTCCTTAAAGCCAAAAAATACCTATTTTCAAATGTCACAGGTAACACACACACAAATTCCTATTTAAAAAAAAAAAAAAAAAAAAAAAAAAAAAAAAAAAAAAAAAACTATTTCCCCACAACACAGCAATCCTACCTGAAGAGCACATACTGCACCAGGCACACGTGCATGCGTGTGTATGTGTATACAGCAATCCTACCTGAAGTCCATATACTGCACCAGGCACGTGTGTGTGTGCGTGTGCGTGTGTGTGTGCACACACCATACACGTGTGCAATCCTACCTGAAATCCATATACTGCACCAGGCACATGTACGTGGGGAAGGTTGGTATGGACTCAATGTAGAAAGGAGCCAACAGGTGGCGTGCTGTCTTCCTGTTGCAGCAGACGGCCAGGTTGTACTTCTCCAAACATTCTGGAGATGCCAGAAAGGCTGGACTCAAGAATGTCACCACTCTGTTCAGGGACAAAGAAGATCAAGATTAAAAATTTCATTTCTGAAGAAACTAAACATGGTTTTACCAGTGGGTGGACAATTTGGTCCTCCACTTTTCACACAAGAGACAATAAAAGTTTATTTTACTGAAGTCAGACAAAGGCCAGGATTTCTTCCACAAATCATTTGATGTCACATACCTGTGCCATTCAGAGACAAATCTGAGTAAATATAAAAATCACACAGAGAGTTCTTCCAGTTATTTTGAAATTCTTGAAACTGTACATGAACTAAATCAGATTTCCAAATTGTTATGTACATTATAAACATACTGTTGATACTTAGTCATATGAAAAAGTTATCACTTACAACATGAACTTCAAGATAAATTACTGAGCAGTGAAATGTTTTCTCCAAATTATTACTTCAAAATAGATGTCAAATTCTAAGAAACAAGCCACATATATTGAAACTTTCATAAAAACGGATCAAAGTATGATTTCAGTGTTAGCATCCACCTGATAAAGACAAAAAGGTCCAAACCCAAAACTTTACACTTTCCACTCCATTTACCTTACACAGGTTATCATGACCTCGTAGATCTCCTGCTGCCAAACCTGGTCCTCACGGAGCGCCTGCACCTGAGAAAATATACGGATATCTTTCTTTTCTTCCTTCAGCACTCCCTCTATCTGCTTGACTTTGTCTTCATCTTCTATGGAGTAGGACAGATAGATGTCATACCTGATCTGGGGCTCCTTGTAAAAGAGACAAAAAATATTATAAAGCTCTTGAATGATGTTATAGGAATAGGGAGAAAACTAATGGGATAAAATTATGGTAATGACTCGCTCTTTTCCGTTGGGATACATGGAGTTTTTGCGGCCTGAGACTTTTATTTGCACTGGTATATATAAGTCAATCAGTAATAATGAGAAAAGCCCCCTGCAGTCCAGGAAAACTGTCCCATTACCTCTGGCATCATCGTAACTGTCTCATACTTCTTCTTCATGCTCTCAAATACGTTCCACAGTTCATGTTTCTCAAGGTTAATTTCGTCAGGACGGTGGGCAAATACCACCAGCTTCAGGCAGGACATGGGTAGTCCCGCCTTTATCCAGTTGACAGCCGCATCCAGCATGGCTTTCAACATCATTTTGGGATCAAAGCTCTGAAAGGAGTGTTATTTCACTGAGCAAAGATAAATATGTTCACTTATACTGTCTACTTTTATAAAGATATTAAAACACAATTCAGTAAATATAAGGAGAACAGCGTAACAGTTGAATCTGCAGAATTAAAAACACAATTGGATGTTAAATAATGACAACAGGATGAGAGAGACAGTTGCAGATCCAGGACTTTGCTTGGGAGAGGGGGTTGGGATCTTATATTAATTTTCTTAAAACTATTAAAATTTTTAAATCTCATGAGGAATCTCCATATATGTGAAAGGGTTAACCATCTCCAGGTGTCAGGGGGGATACATATATATTATTTAAAATTCACATAGCAAATATCAATTTTGTTTGAATGTAGCTTGGAATCGCCGTCTCATGGATCTTCTGGAAAACGGTCAGATTTTTAAGTTTACACTGATGGGTATCTTATTTTTTCTATCAGAAGACAGTCATAAATGGAGGATGGATTAACAAAGATAATTTGGAAGACTGCCAGATAATATATCTGGAGCCCCCCTGTACATGTAGATCTGTTTGTATGTCCACATTCATAACAGTGGGCTTACTAATCCGGTGGTCAAATATGGCCGATCCACTTGAATACTTCCTGACAGGGAATCTATTCATGGTCTTTTAGCAGATTAGTTGGCAAGGTTTTTAGTAGGTTGCCATATTTGACCCGCGTACTAGTTAGTCCAACGTGTGTGTTACCTGTACTCCAGATGCCAGTAGTGGAGCTATCACAGTGCTTTCCTTGTTGTTAAACACGGCCACCAGACATCTAAAGACGTCCCCAACCAACGCCGCCGGGTGACCCGTACTTTTCATGGTACGCTCAAAACACAGTAATCTCCTGAAATGTATAGATCAATAGATAAATGGTCATTATAAAAGGAAAATATCCATGCCACATTACGACAGGAATAAGACATGGATCTAAATTTTTATTAAATAAATAAATATACATATATCATTAAAAATAATTATATTAAAAATGAAGACTTTTCCAATCCAGAGTTAGCCACTCAACACACATCAAACAAATATTATATTCTTCATATTTTTATATCAATTCTTATCATTTTCAGTTCTGTATCCCTCCCAGTTTTAAACATAAAAATTATTGAAATCTACAGTCTCCCAGGTTGAAGCCACAGAAGTGCAGTATTCACTGGCACTCACCAATCTAACCTCCAACTATTGTATCATTCTTTCATGATTTCTTGAGAATATCTTGGAAAGAAAGAAAGAAAGACCAATGAAGAAGTGCTACAACTTGCAGGAATACAATGCTCACTGATGAAAACAATCAGAAAAAGGCAAATGAAATCTCAGGGCCATACCATCAGAAAAGACGGTGTAAATGCACCGAATGTGCACAGAGTGGTTATGCACAGTATTATATGAACAAGGCTAAGAACGATTCAACTGCACAGGTGGACATACGTTATAACTAAATGTATAAGCAGGGGCGTAAAAAGTAAGCATTAATCTATTACCTATTTTGCAGTAACAGACGGAATAGAAAACCCTGGTACTCTGTGGGAAAATGAAAGGAAGAAGTACAGGAAGACAAAGAACATCAAACACTGACAGTCTAAATGCCTTCCCCACAAATCAACAACTGTACAATAACGAGGTTGTGCAATCTATTGAAAATAGAGCAAACTGGAGGAACATGATTGTCCATGCCTGCACAAGGTCTGACACTTGATGATGATGATGATGATGACTGAGACCCCAACAAAACCTTCTCAAAAAGACATTCTCTTTTTATTATCTAATAATTTAAATGTTCATTCCCACAATGTGTCCAGGCAAGTACCTGTATGGCAGGTGTGACGGGAGCAACTTTGACCACCAACAGTGGAAATTAGCTCGCAGATCTTCCTCTTTATCTCTGGCCAGGTGTTTGACGCTGATATCCAGGTTGCGTTTGAGAGCTCCTATCAGTGATCTTTGGCATGGGATATAATCACCTGGAATATATATAGCAATGATATTGTCACATACGATACAGTACGCTATAGTATAGTATACTTCAAGTCCTTGGGAATTGTGATGTGACATAACTAGATGAAATAAGGAGCCAGACCTTTGAACTGGCTGGGTTGGCGGCAGTGCTAACACTCGGCAATTTAGCCAAATGCTAAAACCAACTTAAATTGGCTTAACAAAATGGGCTTGATTTGACTCATTTTAGTCGAATTAAAACCATTTGGATAACAAACTGACAAAAAAGTGGTCATTTGGCTAAGGGGAACAAATTGCTAGCGCTACCCCAGGCTGGTATTTTTGGATTACCCTCTAAATCAACATGTTTTGTTCAGCAGATTTGGTCAAGCAAGCATCGTCTACATACATCAAAGTTAGTTCTCTAATATCCAACAACTGTATGAATTTATAACACTTCAGCATAATTTACAGTACTTAAAGTATCACTTTATGTAACTTTTAAACTTACTTCTACTTGCAGAAATTGTAATTTTATCAACAGATCACGGTGATTTTCATTTTAGACTTGATATGAATATGACAAGAACATATTATCTTAATTTATCTCACAGTTATATGGTACATGACGTCATGTATCTTACATAATTTCAATGGTAAACTATGGATGATGGGGCAGAAGTTATCTGGCGTTTTTTTTTTTAACGAAATTCGTTCAAAAATACCAACTTGATTTTGATTAGATCTTTTTGCACGATAGCATAATAATGTGGGTATGTTTCATAATTCGTTTCATGGCAAATTAATTGATCGATCAAGGAAACATTTCCAGACTTGTTTTCTATTCAAAGATTCTCGCTGATTCTTCTTACCTGGAAACGCTGACACCATTATAACGTCTACTTTCTCTTGTACCGAAAGTTTGGTAATATCCCCAAACAGCAACTGTATCTCGCGATCTCCATCTGCAGTTTTCACAATAATAGAGCTGGCATGCCTCAAACTGCTTTCAGTGTCTGGGTCGTCCGCCATCTTGGCAAATAACTGAAATATTCAGCGGCAACAAACCGACTTTTTCTGATACTAATGACTTTGATTTAAAGCCAATACTGGTCGGTTCATAGACTTGAAAACCTGCTACGTGAGATCACATGTTTGACGTTTTTCGACACATCATATTTGTAGACTTTTCGTCAATGACAATGTCGCCTCCTCTACATTCTGCGCGGTCTCCATAAACAAAATAAACAAAATATGGGTCATGGCGCCAGTTCGAAAGCGAGGTTTTTGGCGCGAAAAATGAAATGTCTCTCGAGTTCCTCGAGGAGGAGCAAACAGCGTCGGAACGCAAAACGTGAACTGTTGTCGACAGCGTTTTTTCCTAAAAGTTTTGGTTTGTGCCGCTGTGTGGAACTACTATCATCATGATGATGTTAAATGATCGGATTGCAAACTAGAGAAAATTAGAACTATAATAAGTATTTTGCTGCCTGCATATGGTGGTGCTGCACAACTGGTACCAGTTTCATCAAGAATTTTAAGGTGATATGATCATTTATGAGAGTGTTTGTAAACAAAATGCATTTATTTCCATTTATTTTCCATATGTACAGTGTAATCACAACGGATCTTTATTTGCCTTAATTTTTCAGTTGTATTGTAAATTTTTGTTAAAATATTGATTATTATATTATTAATAATTCTAATTCCAAAATTAAATCTGTCGCTTTTGCCAAAAATCCCTACTGATTTTTTTCCAGTAATATTCAGTGCAGTATTTATATTGACATCATATTGACTTAGGTGTACATGTAATGATTTTGTCATTGTTTTATATGTTGTACTGTAATTAATTATTTTTGTCTTATTCAAAATTATATATAGAAAAGTTTCTTTAAATCTTTCTTTCAGATGACACAAGTCTCATATAAAAGAGTGGTGGCTAGGCAGTGGCAGCTGGTGTTTTTTTGGTCACAGTTAATATAGATGGAAAAAGAGAGGTAAATTATATAATCTGCTAGTATCCATATTATCTTTGCCCTCTACAAAGCATTAAACTGCATATATACTCCTTAGCAAAATATCAGGCCTGCTGCAAATTTGCTATTTGACTATTTAAACACCATTTTCCAAGTAAAAAGTTGATTGAAAGTTGCGTTTCGAAGAAATGCTGCCCAAAACTACTCGTAAACAACACAGATACATGTATATTGGAAGTCAGCTAGAGATGCAGAAAGTATAATTTTTTTTTCTTGCAGTGAACAGTTGGATTGAAGATCTTCAAGCCCAATGATCAAAGGATGACCCAAAATCATTCTCTTTCTTCCCTCTCAGCAACTGACCTCCATTGCTGTGGCAAACTGGTGTAGAATGTTGTAAATTGATGTCACAACACGGAGTTATTGGATGTCTCAAGACAAAAAATATGGAGTCGAAAAAAGTTAACTGTGGATGTCATTTTGATCAGCAAGTTGTTCAAAAGCTGACACTGTAATATATTTACTGGCTAACAGAATAAAAAGGTGGCTGGTTTCAGTTTCAGTGACATATTATATGTTTTTTAAAAGCTTCACACTTAGACTCCAACCATTTTCTTGAATTCCTGGGTGGGAGGTCATGGATAATGCACAACATTTGATGGAATTAATTCACAACAGTCAACTACAGTATAAGTATAATACTAGTATCATGTTTTACTCCTCAGTTATTGTCACTTAATTAACTTTGGAATAATATGAAAAGGAAAAGTCAAAGAGTATTTTTTGAAATATTTTTTTGAACATTAAAAGAACTTATATTTTGTTTATGGTGTAGGTGAAGATGAAAGCTGCACCTGAAGAGGCCTGGGGAAAACTATCGGTTCCATTGATACATGTAAGAAAAACCAGCCACACATGGAAAAAATAACCTATGGGTAGAAAGAATTGTTGCTTCAGAAGATAAAATTTGATGGAGAGTTGTTGTTTAGATGACATTTGAAAATAGTCTGTTACATGTATACTTTTACTTCAAGAAGTTTAGTATCACTATAGTATATGATGTGTGCTTTTGCAAATGTGCAGTTCTAGTATTCATTTGTGTTTTTCTTTTCTTTTCTCCTGTTTATGGGGGTGTTGTTTTATAAAAATTAACCATTATCATTTGTAATGAGATATACTGTACTGTATATTAGTTGTGTTGGTTGAATGCTTTATTTAATGTCGATCCATCATTCAGGAATGGAAAGTGAATTTTTTCTCAGATGGAATGTCTAAGCGACGTTCATTATAGCTTTGGTGTTTTTGCTGCATGGTGGGTTGCATTGCTGAATGTTTCTTTCTCGATTTTGGGGTTTGCCTCACATTGCTGTATTGGAGTGTTAGTCTTTCCTCTCAGCCAACTCGGCGAAAGTCCTGGAATGCTGGGCATAGAAAGTGGTAAACTGTCACAGCATTTTTTTTCCTTCGTCAACTTCATATAGAAATAGATGGATGAAAAAGACTGAAAAATTGGCTGTTTGCTTTCTTACGGGAACAGTGACAAAGCAATTTCTGTGGTAATATAAACATTGGAAGATTTGATGGTATCTAGGATTAGCTTATGATGATTAGTATTACAGTAACTGTATATTTGAGCTGTACTTATTCAATCTACCCTTGGTTCTAGATTCCAGTTTTGTCAGCTCGATCTTGATTTCACATATAACCCATGTCAGCAAAACTGTTGAAGCCCGTGAACAGCTTTGAACAGTCAACAATTTAGCTTCACAGTAGCCCTGACACTTGGGGCAATTCAGTCTGGTCTGGGTTCAATTTGTCAGCACTGAACTATTATGACTGTTCATAATTTTCTTCATGTTCTTATAACCTTATATACGCATAGCAGTTAAAGGTGTTATGGCAAACAGCTAGTTTACCATTAAATTTTTACTCTTCAAACAGCTTTTATAATAACACATTTTTGTAATTGAAAATTAATTGATTTTTTGATTTTTTCAACATGATTTTTTATGCATGTCTTTGATTTTCAAATAGCAAGAACTTGGGATGATCACATTTTTTAAAATTTTTTTCTCTCAAGCAATTTGAGCACATGAGTACTATCATACTAGTACCCTGTTAAGAGCAGTGGTGTTTTAGGTTTTCCTTCCTCATATTGAACCCTCTTGCAAGACGTCCATGTATTAACAGAGTGACTTCATAAACGTGCAGCACTAGGTATTGATGGGATGTCCTATCGCAACAGCTCTTTAGTTCTGGCATTCCTTCCAATATTGCTCAGCTTCCCCCTCGTACCCCACCCCACCCCACCCCACTCACTGCTGAATGAGACATGGTTACACATTTGTTTTGTGTTCTTCCATGCTTTTGTCTCCACAGTCAGATATGATTGGGACAGGCAGCTAAAATGGTGTTGTTGAAGTCTTTTTTAGTCTTTCCTGATGGAGCTCTATTTTTCAAAGTTCTTGATGGCGTTATCATAGGGGACGTTATTCTTATATCCAGCAGTCAACTCATGCAGTGACCTTGATAAAGGTTGTGTGTATTTGTTTGGTTGAATGCACTACATGATTATTTTAAGATTCCTCTTCTTTTTTCTTACACTACACTGTCAGTAGCTCATTGGTTTATTGCTAACCTGCCTTCCAATAGTGTGGTTGCTGGTGATGGGATATCACACGTACATGTAGGTCACATTTCTGAGATCAATTCTGGAGGTCCCATTTCTCGCCTCAATCCCTTCTGGTTCAGAAGTGGAAGTCTGACGTTGTTGCATTTGATATCAAAATGGATGAGATGTTTGCTTCAATTTTCTAGAATTGCTGCATGTATAAATAGATTGATGGTAAATTTTAAAAATAACCACAGAAAGCAAAACAGAGTGCAGATTTCTGCCATTGGCTAAACTCTGTGGGAACTGAGTATTATTTGGCTTAGATGGGGCATCTTCCTTTAAAATTCCTAACTACTTAACAAAAAAACTGGACAGCTTGCCTTTTGCTTAAAGGCACTGCTCAAGGGTAACTCCTTTCAACTCCTTATATATATATATATATATATATATATATATATATATATGTGACAGAGAGAAATAAAGAACAGCAGTTATTTTACCCCGATCGGTTTCATCGCATCTTCAGGGGGTTTGTTTATTTTGGTTGCTAAGTGATGTCATAAAGACTCAATGTGGTGTCGCTGACAATGGATATTTGATCGTTGCTTTTACCAAAGTTTTAGGATCTGCTATTACCTGTTTAATGTAGGTTAAAACTTAATTTATAATTATTAATGGAGAATTTTTCTTTAATTTCCCTTTCTAGCTGTTTGGGTCTAATATATATATATATATATATATATATATATATATATATATATATATATATATATATGTGACAAAAGAATGTGGTTACATTACATAATAAAATAATGTGACTACATAAGCAACTTTTCAAAATTAGTACACATAGTCAATGTTATTCAATAAGTATTTCTTAGAGTGTCGGCGTTTGCTGACGAGTTCATTTTTAGAGTTCAGCGTTTTCTTTCCGAAGTAATGATGTAGAACTTTTCCCACAGGCAGAGCTGACACCGTTTGGTTATGTTTGAATATGGTCAAGCTTTCTTTAGTATTGACCATTTCAGCCCATAGTTGATTTTTTTTGTCCTTAAGAGTCCAAATATAGCTGCTCAAAGAGGTGTGGTGACGTTTGGATGAGCAGTTGAAAGAGGTCTTATGGTTATTGTATCTATATTTAAATTCACATTCACATATACCAATGTATTCTTCTGTTTCGCTTTTGCTTATCACAGTTGCCTTATAAACTACTTTTTTTCTAGACATTTGCCATTCATTGGGCATTCGCTTTTTATCCTACAGTTACAAGTTATTACATCTGATACATTATCTACAACCCTAGAATTATTCATCAAACTGTTGTTCTTAGTTTTAATAATTTGGGCAATATTATCCATGCAGCTGTAGCTAACTTTATATATATATATATTTACACACAATTCAAATAAATAAATAAATAAACAAGAGACATGTAATAACCCTGACTCCGAGTGACACGATCGTCAGGAGGTTTATTTGAAAATGGTTTTATTAGCCGTTTAACGTACACGGCGTGACGACACTTACATCGCACACAGTGTTAGTTATGTCACCTTATGCCGACACATGGTAATTATTTCAGTTCTTTATTTAGAGTATCTGGTGTTATCATTATTAACAGCTTTTCGTCCAGGCAAAAGTTGCATAGGTGCTGATTTCTGTATTGCGGCGCTGATTTCTTTATGATGTCCCATCTAATGCCATGCTGGGTGTTATTTTCTTTTAAGTTCCAAATGTATTTAGATAACTCAGTTTCTACAGCATATTTTTTGTATTGTGAGGGCCCATTTGCCAAACAGAGGCCCTTACATTTCACAAAGCATGTAATTGTTAGTTTTAATAAATTATCTTTCCATAAGACACTGCTCTTGCTGCAACCAAGTATTGCTTTCTCATCAACTCTCTGAAAACTTCCACCTGTTTGGCACTGCATTACAAATATCAGTTGTCTTATACTGATGTTAGGACATAAATTAAACCATAACTTGTTCTAGCATCTGCACATGCGAGATGATACTGCTGTGCAGAGATGTCAGTTCATCTTGGTCAAATGTCTTTTTCTGTCTGAGGTTTAAACAACTATGCCTAAGTCTTCTGGATTGCCATCTTGATGAATTGAATGGGTTAATCATATGATTTAAAAAAAAATGATGTAAAGATATATGGTATCATTATGAATAATAAATAGAAATTAATATCGGTAAGTACAGTGTAGTGATGGAAAGGGAAACAACTTCTTGAACTGACAGTAATGATCAGTTTGGGTATATTTCTTCTTTCAATGAATTTTTGTGTCTTCTATTGTACCCGTAGCTCTCTTTGTTGGACTATGCTGCGAGATATCTTTTTTTCATTTTCTCAATCCCAAACATTCAAATGTTTGTGGCAGTATGTGTTCCAGTACTCCCAAGACCTGGTCTGGCTCAGACCCTTCTCCACCTTTCTTTGAACAAGCACTCTTCTTCTCCAGAGACATATCATACGTCTCAATACCTTTCTTGTTTGAATTTCTATTCTCCCTGGTTTACGTAGGTATTTTAATATCAAGCTTAGGCTGTCATGTGCATAATCATATTTTATTTATTTACTTTTTTAAAATAATAATATATGGATTATTGATATTTCTTTACCTGCCATAGACTTCGTTCACGTCTTGGTGAAAATATCTCAATTTCTTCATGAAGGTCATTTTATACTAATACTACACTAACTACAAGTAATGATAATGGGAAATTTTGATATTTTTTTTTTATTATGATCACGTTTATTAAATTTAATTAAATGCTCGTCTGAGCTTTCAGCTTATTGCATTCTTTGTACATGGATGTGATGGTGAATTCTTTGGGTGTTCAGGACTCTTCTGGAAAATTTTTATCATATCTTCTTTACTGTGAGACTGAAATAATTCCTGGAAGATCCCAGGATTATAATCACTTTCCCTTATCTTGGCATTCCTTTTGGTACAGATTGTTGAAATAAAAACCATGTTGTACAAAGAACAGAAACTAGACAAACTCGGATGCTTTGCATTGTTACGTTAAGGAATTCACTGCATTGCTATGCATACATATGCATTTGATTCCAGAGATGGGATGGGTATATTAAAGCTGTGATAGGTATAGAATACGAATTTATAAAGTTAATGCCTTCTCTCTACTGTCAATTTTTGTGCCATGTTTCGCATAATTAAGAAGTCACATTAAGTTTATTAAATTCAACTTCTGATTTATCTGTTATTTAAGATTTAATTATTAGAGTTAAGTAACCTTATGTCAACGGTTAATTGTTAGGCAAGAGTAAAGTCACCATTTGTATATCAAAGTTAACACATAATTAAGAAGTGCTTCATAATCTTTAGTGTAAACTTTGAGGAACTTGTTTGGCATTATTAAGATTTAAAATAACTGTATTCTATGTTCAGCCGTGGATTTTTAATAAACGCAAGGCAAAATATACTTTCAATTTTATTACAAAACAGTTGTTTGTCTGTATATATATATAACAAAACGTGTACAATAATCGCACTTCAGTATATGTATATATATAAAAAAAAAAAAACACCCTTGAAGTAATCTCTGGAAAAAGAAGACTTCAAATTTTGCTAAAATTACAGGCTACTACAAGAAAACTTCAAACATAAATAACACCTCACTTTAACTCTTCGATGACTACTCAGTTTTGAGATTGAGTTTCAATCAATACGGGCAAACAGACACGTCCAAATTATTTTCTTGTTCTGACTGGTACAATAGCAGGCATGCATGTTATCTAGACAATTTAGCATAATGGGAGCAAACTGATCATTTTGTATAGAGGCAAAAAATATTCAACATCCTTCAAAATGTCCAAATTTATGAACTGGAAAGCTTTTTAACATCTTAAGTAGAAGATACTTGTAAACAAACGTTGACTGCAGAATTTTTTTCACAATCTCAATAACATTGCCTCAGACAAATGCCAATGGAATCATCTTGATCTGTAAAAACGACTTTTCTTAACATCCGAGTCACAATCAGACAACTGCATTTGGATCTTTGACTTCTGTTTGATCTTATGCCAACTGCACGTTTCATTCAACCCAACACTTTCTTAAAACAGACTACTGTCTTACCCCTTAATCAGAATGAGTTCTTAAAACAAACTTAATCTTTGAAGGTCAAAATTGTGGAAGAATTGTCCCGATTTGGATGTATGTGTACGTTATACATAATTTAACATCTTAATGTCAATTTAACCATCTAGCGTGCCAGCATTTAGAGCATCTTGGTAGGACGGTCCTCCCTCTCTCTGTTCTGGGGCTAGCTTGATCATGTCGTCTATTCTCAATATAGTAATGGCCGCCTCCGTGGCAAACTTGAGGCTCTTGATTTTGGACATGGCGGGCTCCAGGACTCCAGCTCGCTTGTTATCACGTACCACGCCTTCGTAGAGGTCCAGTCCCACCCTGCAAGAAAAAGAAATGAAGAAACATCTGAATGAAATTTATTTACTTGTAAAGAACTAGAAGGAGCAGCTCAATTTAATTATTATTAATGAATAGTGGATCCCCACCAAAATCTTATCAATTCTATGCCTGTGCATTTCTGACCTATCCTAAAAAGTTTAATCAAAATGTTTAACTTTTTAAGTGGGGCTGTGAAGTGACTAACCAACAAAGACAACAACAACCTCCCTGACAGAGGTCTTAAATACCTGGAAATGAAATTTCAAAATCACTTTCCAACAGACTTAAAAGATAAAAGTTTTCAAGAAAACAGTTCACGTTATTAGATATCTTATTTCTTAAATTTTCCCTGGCAAAAAAAAATTCCTATTCACAAGCCATTGACCAATTTTGAAAAACCTAAAAACTTGTTTTATGACTTAATACACAAACTTACTTTTCACTGCAATCATATATATGCAAACCCCTTATCTTTCAATTCCAGTAACAAAATCAGTATTTGACAAAATTCCGTTCTTCTGTGAACTCACCACTTCAAGTCTCTGTGTTCCACTTTAGTCTGTGATGTGTTATGATATGCCCGAAGTTTGGCGACGAGATCTGTGGAATCCTTGGCAGCATTCACAGCCAGTTGCTTTGGAATCACCAGCAAGGCCTGCGCAAACTCTGCTATCGCTAACTGCTCTCTGGAGCTCTGCAGATAGAAAAAGCAGTATAAGATCACAGATGTTCCAGATTCATTCCAATGTAACATTTCCTTTTTGCTACAAGTTAGACAATTGATTCTAACAGCCAAAAGTTTCAACTGGCTTAAAACAAAATATATGATGTTTAATCTATTTGACATTTCTTTGTTATTTTTTAGGTAATGAAATTTTGATAAGTTGACTATTTATCACTATTATCTGAAGAAACAACAAAAAATACATTCTCTGCAAATAACTGCTATTATCAAATTTGTGAAATTCTACATATTAGACTTGCCCTTCAAGAAATCGACGGAAACTAGCTCTTTTTCAATTTTGAATGGGCACTGTAGAAAACATATAACAGCTAAAGCTCTCAAATTAAGCACATATGTGTGATATCATGCGAAGAATAAGTTCTGTAAATTTCAATCCAAGCAGTTGAGTACATTTTGAGACAGAACGCTTTAATTGTGCAGCAAACCGTAACGCTAATCCCTTCAAGATCTCGACGAAAACCGGAAGTGCGTCATGACGTCACTGGCTTCTACTTGGAAAGCTGCTGGGTGATTTTCCGATGAGAAATATTTCGTGGCTCATACAAATGTTCGGAAAATGACCATGCAGATAAAAGAAAATTCACTAATCAAAATTGAAACGGCGTAATTACATAGAAAAACATTGTGCATTCCTGACCTCGACTTGTCAGTGTAAACAAAGTGTACTGAACGCATCGCAAGCAAGCACGTGAATGCCGCGTTCGATACTTTGTATCAGACGCTTCGTTTTACTTGACAACACAGTGTTTACGATGGGCATGTCAGGAAAAACAGTGCAAAAAACACGCTCTTCCGGTTTTCGTCGATTTCTTGAAGGCGTCGATTTCTTGAAGGGCGAGTCTATGTCTTTAGAATTTCGTAAAAACATTCAGGTGTCAGATTACAGTAAGCTGTTGTTTACTTATCACCACAACATATGGAGAGAGTGACTTTCAGATGGTCTGCAGAAACATGGAAAGTTTCAAAAATAAGCAATGTTTTCAAATCATCAAATCTTTAACAGATCCAAGAGAGTAAGGAAAAAGTATCTTCGCTCATGTTCACTTACCAGTGAAGTCGCTAAATTCTCTAGATATATAGATAAGGCAGCTTCCACTGCGCCACCACCAGGAACAACACTTTTAGACTCCAACACACGCTTCACCACACATAGTGCGTCATGCACAGAACGCTCCATCTCGTCCACGTAGAAATCATTGGCGCCGCGCAACACAATGGATGACGCACTGCGAGCCTTTGGTCTGAAGAAGTAGTACAAATTAATATATATGTGGAAATTTTAAGATATGTTTTTAAAAATATCAAAACCTTATTAATACAAGAAATTATATGAAATTATAAGAAATTAACATTCGGAATTATTCAGGAAAAAAAGACTGATAACTATTCTTTCATCACCCTAAAACCTCCCTTACTTTGAAATTGAAAACTTTATGGGCACATCATATATCGATAATAATCATAATACAACTCTAATGTTTGTAAAATATGTCAAACATCTTTTAATCTTGGTCTATTTATGTATATAAAAAAAAGATAAGATAAATTGCACATCACATCAAGTTGACAGATAATCTTTTAATGAGTTATATCTTAGACTGTCCGAGTTGAAATCATTCCCATGCATCAAGAAAAGACAACATGGAATACAGTTCAAGTCCAGTTTGCTGTCTCCCACGCGTATAACTACTCACGCTAGCGTTTTCAGCATGGTAGCAAAATCATGGGAATTTGTATCCAAATATCAACAAGTTCATCAGAAGGTAGAGATTGTTTTCTCATTAACATTTTTGCGCCCAATAAAGGTGTGGGGACAGAAGAGGGGGGGGGGGACGCAAGTGTGTTAGTGAGCAAAACGGCAGTCACTGCCAACTGCTTACCCCTTAATCAGAATGAGTTCATCATCACAAATTCTCTCCTGGACGACTTCTTCAGCGTAACCTAGGGAAGACACCTCAAAAGACTCTTCCCCTTCCATGTTAGCTAGCGTCAAGACTAGAGTACCTGGAGAAAAGTAATCAACTTGTTGAATGCTGAGAATTACTGGGAAATACAGGAACAAATACATAACTGATCTAAGTAAATAAGTTGTTTTATGTACAGATCAAAGCATATGTCTCTGCCATTTGTTGTTCAGGTAAAATAAGAAATAAAAAAATAAATTGAAATAAATTAATGTGTAATATGAATAAGAAATTTATCCCAAGTCCAACTTGCCCACCTCTCTCTCTCTCATACAGGCACACAAATCACTGCTCCTTACCTCCAGTTGCCTTGGCAATTCTCTTCAGATCCACCTTTTTACACCTGCGGACCCCAATGGCTCCAGCCTCCACAAAGTATTTGAGGCACAGGTCGTCTATACCACCGGTGGTGAGGACAACGTTAGCCCCAGTAGACAAGATCTTCTGGACGCGTTCTTTGGTAATGTCAGACTCCCTGGAAAGAGAAGATTACACTGCTTAATATTGGAAAATGAATTAATCAATTAATAAAACAAAACAATATGAGAGCACATGCAAAGAAATTGCCTTACTTATTTCATTGGCTAAAGTGTTTTCAAGATTACACATTTTCTAGTTTTGATAGTTCATTTGGAACTTTATTTCTTAGACTAGAAGATACAGAGAGAAGATACAGCTAAAGTGTTTTCAAGATTACACATTTTCTAGTTTTGATAGTTCTTTTGTCACTTTATTTTTGAGACTAGAAGATATGAAGAGTTGTTATCCCTTTAATTTTCTACATTCCCATCACTGGACTCACCTCTTCCTAATATCTTCTAACTTAGCAGGATCATCTACAACTACCTGCACTCCCATCTTCATCTTAGCCTTCATCAAACCAAAGTCCAGGAAGGCAATTTTGGCGCCTGTTATTTTCTTAGGCATGGCTGGAATAAGCAAAAATGTTCATTAGCTTGGTAGTTGGATCATGTATGATGAAAATCAAACACAAGCAAAAATACTTTCATACTGTAATCTCAAGGCTTGAAAGTATATTGGCTTGTTTGATAATCATCATATGTTAGCTGAAATAGTTTAGAAGAGAGGTTGAGAAATCAGTTCCACTCAGAGGTGCTACCACCAGTGCCCTCTGGTAGGCATAATGTAAACAAAATCAGAATATTGTTACCTCTAATCCAGGTACACAAAAAACTCAGGTTTCCTGGCTAAGAACTTAATTACCAAGGCTACATGGGCACATCTTACCCTATCAGGAACAGTGTAACAGCACTCTCATGGAAATCCTAAGGGAACTGACTTCAGTTTTTTTGTGAAACTGGGACCAGGTCTACTCACCTTGCGATGCCACCGTACAGTTCAGTGCGTAGCCAGGTACCATGACGCTCTCCCTGGCGCTGCGGCCATGGGCCTTCAGGATATTCACAGCCTTGATTGGGTACCGGAAACCTCCCTTGGGATCGCCCATCTTGATAGCCATAGCAGCATCCACCACCATATTGGCAAAGAATTCAGAGTCACTGAGGGAGCAGGTCAAGGAAGTGGCTAATAAAACTACACATAAACAGTAATTTAGGAATACAAAAAATGTATGTATTAATAAAATTTTGGACCTTACTTACTACAATTCAGGGACATTTTGGTTTCTATATATATTCTCAAATACAATTTAACTGGATGACTAAGAAAATATGCTCAAACCAAGAGAGAGTGTTACCAATCACAGAACATATATAATAAATAAATATATAAGCAAATAAGAAGATCATGATTAGGTAAAGATTAACATTGTAACATAAAAGGATACGCTCCTATTAATTTACTGGACATGCTGGTCTTGGCTGCGTTCACGATGCACTCCCGCCCTAATTCATCTGTATTCAACATCAAGTGCTCCTGTATATACTTGCAGGCTTCCCTGGAGAGAAAAAAATGCATAATATAACTGCATTTGTTCAGTATTTTCATTGGTAGATTCTCTTCTGTTACCATTATATGTCAAGTTTTTTTCTCTCAACTTAAAGAAAAAAAGATTAACACATCTACTAGAGAAAAAATGTCTATTTATCATCATGATAATGATCTTTTTTTCTCATACTATCAGAGGGGGAATACACCTGATTTGGCTAAGTGTTAAGACTATGCTACTTACTTGCAGGCCAGTCTGTATCCACTAATAATAGATGTAGGGTGGATCTTATTCTTTACTAGTTCATCTGCATTCTTCAGTAGTTCGGCTGCTATAATGACCTGTAGAAAACAAAAATTTCAAGGGCTGTTAATGAAATTTTGCACTTCTAAATCCAAGTTTGACAAGACATGAAATCTGTTGCTGAATATGGTTGTAGGGCAGGGTGATACTTTCCATTCCAATAAAAATTACAAAATTAACTTATAAGTTAGTTATGAAGTGAATTCTGCAAAATCTTTTTTCATTTTATACCCTGATACTAAACCCGAAGATTTCTACTATACTATCCTTATTCACTAAAATAGCAAGATTTATGGTGATAAATATATCAGTATTAATCATACATATGCAAAACTTCAAAGTAGCTGAAATATAGACAGGACACAGAAAAGATAAGACCACCATTTTCTCATAAAGCAAAACATTTTCAAATTGCTTTTGTTAATTTTCAAAGTAGCTTGCGTTAATTTCTATCCAAGACCAATGTGAGGGCACAGGTAGAAGATCGTACACTGAAATAAATGTAGATCTTAGATCTAAGCGCCATGTTCATCTTCCCCAGTGTATATACTGTGATTACGGCAGGCAGAGTAACACAGCAAGTTGAATGGGGTGCAGCAATATCCTGTTGATCCCACAGTTATGAAATATGTTGTTATTCAGTGGAGACATTCTCAGACCAAGTGTACTAAGAATTTAAAGATGATCATAAATTGGAATCATTGATTGTGAAGTCATGATATGCTTTACAAGACCTGCTTGATAATGATAAACTTTTTGATTGCTGTTAAATTCTAGATATATATGTGTGTGTGTGTGTTTGTGTTTGGGGGGGGGGGGGGGTACCCTTTATGCCCTACAACACAATCAGAATGTTGACAATTTAAAATATTTGGTTACAGTATGCATATTACAGGTATAGCACCACTTCGGAAAATAACCTTCTCCAAAGAAGCTTTGCACTTATAGAGTCAAGACCAACTTTTTAGACATAATATCTTTTTAAGAAGACAAATTACCACAGAAGTGGTTCCATCCCCGACTTCCTGGTCTTGAAGATCTGCCAGCTCACAGAGGATCTTGGCGGCTGGGTGTTCTACTTCCAGAAGTTTGAGTATTGTGGCTCCATCATTGGTGATTGTCACATCCTAGAAACAAAATCAATATATAAGTAAACAATGCAAATGAGAGGCAACAATGTTATTTCGTCAATAAATATCTTAATGATGACTTGCAGGGGGATGACTCATTTAAATAGCTGCCAAGTGTTCGAATTTCTAAATAACAGTTTAACCATTTACATGTTCACTTTTTTTAAATCTTTTTGAAGCAGGAAACTAACCTAGTGTATTTATTATCTTTTTTGGAACAGTTTTATGCATGGTACAAGAACTGACATGTATCTTGAGACCTGCCAACTTTCATACAGCAGGAAGTCTCAATGCAGGCTGGGGCTTTTTTAGTGAACTCTGTGGGGCCGTAGCAATAATCTGAATGTTCACTGGTCCAAAGGTTTGATAGTCTGAAGTAATGCAGGAAGAAACTGTATAGTGTACTGGCAATTAAGTTAAATTCATCGGGGCCCATGTATATAATTTTTCGGACCAGTGAGCCTTCAGACCAATGAACCTTGAGACTACTGAGACTCCCCCAGCTTGGCACTAGCAAGATGTGGCAACTGATACTCACTCCCACGTCATCCACCAACATTTTGTCCAGTCCCACGGGACCCAGACTGCTCTTCACTATGTTAGCAATAGCTGAGGCTGCCATCACTAAAATAACACACAAACTGATTAGATGCTTTGGAGAAAAGAATGATAAAATTTTCCAAAAATGTGCCTATTTATCATTTTTCAGCATAGACTAAGAACACAGATAGGTAGATCACAATCCGCTAGGGGCGCTACAGTCGTAACTGTCCACGGGCAGTGAAGTGTAAAACTGAAGTCGGCCTGCTGACAGTTCGCCTATGGAACCCCTTTTTTAAATCTCTCTTTTAGCGCCGCGTTAAAAAACTAATACAAGCCATTAACTAAATAAGTTGTAAATCAAAGAGTAAAATCCGGTCACGTGATTTTCCCATGTTGCAGTCTTTGACAAGTTTCGGTTCTGCTTGTTTTAAGCTTTGCCTCTACAAAATGATAAAAATTTTCAGTTAAGTGCTGGTATCATCTTTTTGAAATTTATATCCAGCAAAGTTTATGAAATTTGCTATATTATGTAGAAAAATCATGAAATTTGAAGGTTGCGAAGTATAGTTAATTTAATCCGCAATATTACATGATGTGAAAATTACCACAGGGAAATAGCTTTGCCCTGATTAGTCACAGGCTATGTGAGCCAGACAATAGGCTGAGCACACAAAGACACACAGGGTGCTCTGCTGCGCCTGAGTGATCACTG